TGGTGAGTCATGCAGAATTTACATTCATAGAATTTGTATTCCTAATTTTTTTCCAGGTTATTTTACATAAATTTATACAATTTTTTTTTTTATATTTATTTTCCAAAAGTTGTCTTACAACCTATATACATAATTTATTTATTTTTCTAGATTATTTTACAACTTTACGTTGACTTTTCAAGTGGTTACCTATCAATATTTATCTTTTTTTTTTTTTCATTAGTAGTTTAGATTTATTTTTTAATGATTCAATGTCTAAAAGTGAGGTTTCGAGAAGTGTATAATAAATAATATATATATATATATATAATTTTAATATCCACCAATAGTTCGTATAAGAAACTGAGTTAATCAACCAAATTACCGTGAAATAATGAATCAGTTCTATCATTACAACAACTGCATCAAACCATCGGACAATTAACTCAACATCCATGAAAAATAGATAAATAGTGACCCATATTTATGGGACAAAGAAATATCCACCAATAGTTGGTATAAGAAATTGATTTAGTCAACCAAACTACTGTGAAATAATGAACCAGTTCTATCACTACAACAACTGCATCAAACCATCGGACAATTAACTCAACTTCCATGAAAAATAAATAATAGCGACCCATCTTTATGGGACAAAGAAATTCAAAAAATAAATATATAATATGTATTTTGTTTGTTTGTTTGTATGATAGTTTTTATTTCTTCATTATGTTGCAAAAATAAAATAAAAAAGCTCCATTTTTGTTTTCTTCATTACATCGATTCAAAAAATATAAAAAATAAAATTAACTGTATAGATTTTGTGCATAGATTATCTTTGTGAGTGGATTTTATTTTCTTTGTTTTTTCTTTGTTTGCAGATTTTGTGTACATATATATTAGATGCTTTATACATAGTATAGATAGATGCGAATTTTACAATACAAACTTGAATTTAAATTATATAGGTTATCATTATGAGTATAAATTTATTTTTTTATATAAATTTTATTGTATAAATTTTAAATATATAAAAAAAATTATGACTTTGTGTTTTTCAGAAAAAAGCTCTTTGTTTCTTTTTGTACATTGATTTAACAGGTTAATAAAGAAGTCAAAAAAAGAAAACAAAAAATAAGAAAATAAGGTTTTACCCATTGTGTGTTCAATTTTTTTCTTTCTATTTTTTTTTTAAAAAAACTTAGGCAAACTGTTTTTCAATTTCTAACTGTTTCTAAAAACGTAGTATTCCAAACTTTAAAAAAAAAAAAATTTGCACACAAAAAAAATGAAGATGTTCTTAAACATTTTTTGAAACACAAATAAAAATAAACAATAAACAATAAAACAAAAAATTCTCTTAATTCTTGGATGTCTAAGAATAGTAAGTTAAAAACATGTTCTAAAAGTTTACTTATTTTAGAAAAAAAAAAAGAATGAGAAAAAATAGATATTTAGAATTTTTTAAATTTCAATGTTTGATAGGATATTGGAAAAATTAGTCTAAGGTCTCTCTCCCACTTTTGATAGTGGAAGAGATCCACAATGTTATTTTATGATGTCTAAGGTCCTTCAACCCCAAACTCATATGTCACAGAGAAATTTAAGAAGAAACAAAAGAGTTTCAAAAACTGAGTTTGGTCTCTCTGTCTGTCTCTCTCTCTCCTACATCAAACCAGTGCTTCGTCTATCTCCCACCCCTGCTGAGGATCACCATCGTTTGCACACCGCCCATCGCAACAACTCCGAACACACCGACACCGTGACCCAAGTCGCTATTGGCTCACACCGATACCATACCAGCTTGCCAATCAGCACCGTCTTCGCCGACCTACTCACCGACATTGTGACAACTTAGCGGCGCATCCTTCCAACCTCATCAATTCGCTCATGACTGTCAGTGCATTGCGCCGTTGACCTACTCCAGCTGCTGTTGTGCTGCGGTTTAGCTAACGTGCGCCTCCTAGTTTGCATTGCTTCGCCGATTTCAGCTTGGTTGCGGTCATTCGCGTCGACCTCAAACCATACCAGTGCTCATCGGTGCTGGTTTTAACTAGCAAACCCTTCCTAGATTAGCTCCGTTTTTCCTTTGCTTATGTAAGTCTGTGGGTAAATGCTTAAAACCTTCTTTTCTTTTCTTGTATTATTTATCTTTCTTTATGCTTTGAGCTTTTGATTCGTTGGTCTTGACATTTGTGACTTTCGAGCTGGAACCCGGAATGTTTAATTTGTATAAAACCCAATGTTTGTGAAATCAAATTTTGAAACCCTCTTGTTGAGAAGGAGAGCAATATTGATGTTGTTCGATTTCATCTCTCATTCCCATAATTTGCTTGACACCAAGAGTGAAGGCAAGCAAAGCAGTAAATAACAGAGTTATTTGTGAGCAAATTAGAGAAAATTCAACCCTAGAGAAATTTCAAAACATAGAAAATCAAAAAAATTGAACAAACCAGAGAAATTTCAAATTTCTCTGGTTTGAAATTTCTCTGGATGGAAATTTCTCCGGTTTGAAATTTCTCTGGATGGAAATTTCTCTGGATCGATTTGAGGGACCTTAGACATTATGAAAATATTAAATATCCTTTATGCTATAAAATCTTAATATCAGGGACCCTAAAAAAAAATCCCCTAGGATATATACACACTTGTGTATATTTTGAAAATTACTTATTTTAGAAACAAACAAGAAAAAGAAGAAAGAAAGAAAGAAATATGCACGAAAAAAAAAAAAAACCAGTTTCTATGTTTGATAATATATATACATATACACACACTCTCATATATTTTTGCATTATCTTTGTGTTTTTTTTTTTTTTTGAGTTTTTAATTTATTTATTTTTCATGTTTATTAAATCTATTTGATTGCAAATGTTTGGTCTTTGAATTTGTGTTTAATTATTTTTATATTCAAATTTTTAAAATTTATATTCAGTTAAGAATATTGAGTTTGGCCAAAATTATTTTTATATTCAATTTATTTATTTATTTTAATTTATACATTCAATTTTTTTAATACACTATTTCAAACTTATATTTATTTTACGAGTTTACACACGCATCGCGTGTGTCTGACCATTAGTCAACAGCTAAGCGGAGAGATTCAAACTCTCGTCGCTCTTTAGTTTCTTTCTTGAACACTTCATTAGAATCGAGAGATGAATAAAGAAAAGAAATAATTAGAGTTTTTCATCTAGATGAGAAAAAAAAAATCATTTATCATCTTTTTATTTGGATAGATTACAATTAAAAGAGAATATATGTCTCTTTTTATTTTATTTACATTTGTATTTAAGATGGTAGTTTAGATATTATAAATTGTTTTGTAAAGAATAATCTTAATTTTTTACCAAATCCCATCCTTTTCCTTTATTTCTTATTCATTAATCCCGCCAGGAACATGTCACTATAAACATTTTTTGAAAGGATGTATCATATAGGCCATTAATTATATCATTTTATTATTTAATTATAATTAAATTTTTTATTTAATTATGACATTCTTTTAATTATAACTCATGAGATGTTTAGTTATGTCTTACATAATGTTTAATTATGTTTTTTTTATAGTTATAACTCAGAAAATATAAAATTATATCTGAGAGGGTAATTTCTGGAAAAAATTAGGCCGAGCTGTGGGTCGGGCTTTAAGGCCCAAAACGCGAAGGACTAAGTAAAAAGGCCGTGGTGGATACTCCAACCTAGGGGGCAAGGTTACTCCGGCTCAAGAAGAAATAGTTACTTCGGCCCAAGGAAGAGTAAAAGCTACTCCGAGTTAGGCCGGTCTCAGAATTAGTCCGGTCGCAATATGTTCTGGGAAGACCGGTTTCGGAATTAGTCCGGTCGTGACATTCTGTTCTTAGGTCGGTCAGAACTTGTTACTTGGAAGTTTGATCTAAGCACACCAAGGTTGAACAGGGGCAGCCGAAGTAAAGGAGTTAGAGGAGAAGACCAAGCTAAGGACAGTTCGGCCCTCTGTGGCTCGGTATAGCCAATTTTACTTCGGTCACATGGAAGTTCGGCCCTGGAGAAAACCATCCCACTTGGTTTAAGCAGTGGGGGAGGGTGTAAAAGGATAAGCATTATCCTTAGGAGAATGAATCCTAGGAGGACTCTGCATGGAGAAGTACAAGTCCTACTAGGATTGTGCCACGGGAAACTTATAAAAGCTCACGAACATCACCTTGGAGGAGGTAATTGAACACAATCTTTCTGAGAACCTAGAGCTTTGTCTATTTGTCAAGTTTTCTGACTTAGGCATCGGAGAGGTTTCCGGCACACACCCGCCGGCTAGCTCACGTTTGTGTTTTCAGGTAACAAAGCGACGTCGTACGGAGGAGCGTGGACTTGGTCAACAGGATTATACGAGGAGAATTATTTCCTCCCCGTACAATATCATTTTACAAGGGAGAGTTGGGTGACTGATGTGCAACAAAATAGGTCCATTTTAATGATCAAAATTGTTCATATTTTAAAATATATCGAGTAAAATATATCGAGTAAAATATACTTGTAACAAATCAAATTAATCGAATATCGTTAATCCTTTCATTCGCTCATATTTATATCTACAAAAATAAATAATAATTGAGATTTAAAATATTAAAATAAATACAAAAATGAGTAAATAAAAAAAATTAACATTATTTGATTAATTTAATTTGTTAACTTGGCCTTACTATCTATTTTTATAAGTCATCAACAATGAGGAAAGAAAAACAAAAGAAAATTGTTATCTAGTAGGTTGAATTTAACAGACTGGAAAACACAATGGGAGAATAATACACATGAGTTCCTTTGAAATTGAGTTGCCTTTTTAAGTTTTTGATTATTTTAATTTGAGATTAAAAAGTCTTGTTAGTAATAAGTTTTTTGACTTTTTTAATTTTTGTTAAAAAAAATAAAATAATTATGAATAAGATATGATATTTTATTCTATTTAATTAAAATAATTAATTTTATCCTATAACTATTTAACCCATGTATCTCAAACGGAGCCCCATATGCCACCCACCCCAAACCACTCAATCCAAACGGAGCGTAAACCACTGCGCTTCGTAAAGGTTTCGGGCGACAGAAGCTTCTTGACTCGCTGGGGGAGGTTTCTCTGTGTCAGCTACTTCTCTCTCTCTCTCTCTCTCTCTTTCTGGAATTCTTGAAGATGAGGCGTTCTTCGACCCGGAAAGGGCAAACCAATTCTCCGGCATCGAACAATTCTTCAGCTGTGGATCTTTTCCGCTCCGGTAATCGATCATTTCTCTGTATCTGAATTCGATTTTGGTCTCATCATTTTTAAAAAGTCTGTTTCTTGTTCGGTTGTTTGTTCATAATGATCTTTCTTCAATGCATAATGATTTCACCATTGCCTGATTGAAACAACGGTTTTTCATATAATTTGAACTGCCAAGTTCAGATTTTTTTTCTACTCTTCTTGCTCTGCGGAGATTATTTTTTATTGGGTCCTACTAATCCGTGATATTTATTGTGTGAGTTCAAAGTAAAGAAGATGATGGAATTAGGAAAAGAATTATGAATTGAACATGGGTCAGTGTACAATTAACTAAATTCGCTGTCCAAGAATTTATAAAATTTCGCCACCATCCATTCTTGCTTGATTTGTGATCATTGTGCGGGGGTGATTTCTGCCCAAAAAAAAAAAGAAAAAGAAAAAGGAAAAGAAAAAGAAAAAGAAAAAAAATTGGAATCGGAGCTCCATGATCTCACAAATCTATCCACAAACTGTAACCTACACACTGGAGTGCAACATTAATGCTGCCCGGCTGAGTGTTTGGCCAGAAAACTCCTCTGATAGCAATGATTGGAAAAGAGAAGGTAAAGAGTAAGGAAATGCAGAGAATTAGGGTTTTTAAAGGAGGATGAGGTCTACGTTTTGTATGGTCTCCTACCGCACTCCAAGAACCACCTAAAGGATAATGACCTCATGTGCCTCCCCAGTTGGGTCATGATACCATTTTGTTATGTGGAATATCCACTAGGCAATTTGTTATCTAATATTATAGAACCTTCTCATAGTGATCTCATGAAATCCATGAAGCTTTGTATGACGTGTAAGTCTAGATCGGCAAGCCCTATCCAGCTCGGCCAAGAACCATGGCTGGTTTATCTAGGCTCTTCCCGGTTTACTACTGGTCTATCTAGGTAATGAGCTTGGCCCAGTCCTGGCAAGCTCATGTCAACATTATTCGTCCGGCCTGCAATCCAAGGTTTGTTCGCTTGCACTCTCAAGGCCCTGTGCATTCTCAGCCCAATCCAGCCTTGCTAGCTTAATTTGACCCTTTTCAATCACATATATATTTGTTATTAAAATAAACAGATATTATAAAGGGATTGATAGAAATTAAAAAGCTATGTTAGTCATCCTTCTTAAAGACTTAACCTAGCCCAGTCTAACTTGAAGCTGTCCAACCAGAGGTTAGGTTGACTTTATACTTGTGGAAGCCTCCTTAAACCTTTGGATTGGTTTTGGTCTGGTGTTGTAACCCTAATTGAGAGGGGTAGTGAATGGGGAACTGAGCTTCTATCTAAGATATAGACTGACGGATAGAATGCATAACAGGCAAGTGCCTGTTTTGGATATAACATTTCATTAGGAGGATATCTAGAGTGGATACATATAAAACATGGTAAAAATGTGACTTATGTTAAGTTGGATTAGTCTACAACTTAGTGAGTTTAGCTTATGTACAGGGTTTACATAGCTTGATTCACTACTAGCTGACTTCAATTCAAGTAATCAGCATGCTTGCTTGTGGATTAGTAATAACTATAAACTTCTCTAAGCTATAGTAACGACTATAGCTTTGTATTTTGTGTTTTGTCCACCATGTTTGTTATTTTTTGAACCATGTAATTATTTGTCCTTCTGTTGTTGCATGGGCACACAACCAACATGGAATTCTCGAAATACAAGATAATTACTCCCAAACTTTAGGAATATATGATTAGCCCCTTAGTATTTTGAGTATTTATAAAAGAAATTAACATCTATGTAACTTAACTTTAGCCCCTCCAAAATCTAAATAATTTTTCCTTGACCCTCCTTTGCAAAATTTATAGGTCCACCACTAGTAGCAATCAACAAAAAATTGAACTTCTCTCTTTCTCTTCTGTTAGAGAAAGGTCCCTAATACGTGACCATTAATTCCTGTAGATCTTCTATCTAAGGAGGCTCTCCCATGGAAGTTATAGTCGGTAACTAGGCAATTAATATGGCAGTTGTTTGTGACAAGCTCTCAAATTTATCAGTATTGAATGTAAAGGTAATACCAGTGCATTAGGCTCTTTCTTTCAACAATCTCTGAGACAGGTAATAGGTAATCTTCCTCACTTTCAACAATGGGGCATAACACTAGAGTTGGGTTGCAGGCATTGGGGTATTCTTAATTTGGTTGCAGGAAACAAGTATCTTTCTTGGAAATTTTATTTATGAAGTTGGGAAAAAATTTGTTTGAAGAAATGATGAAATTGGAATTTCTTGAAATGTTTAATTAAAAAAAATAAAATGAACAATGCTAGTAAATGGAACAATTATTGTAAAACTTGGGTAACAGTGTGACAAACTGTTCTTTTGTTTTATATCTTCTCTGTCCACCTGAATTTATTTCATCTATTAACTTAATACTTTTTGTTGCTTTTTTTGCCTTTCTTTTTTCTTCTCTCCCTCTCTCTCTCTCTCTCTCTCTCTCTCTCTCTCTCTCCGTGGTTTTGTTTGGTCTGTTGCACATTATGAGTAAGAAAACATCAGGCAGAAGTTATAGCCTCAAATAGGCTATGGCTTGCTAACTCCTTGTATGTGCAATAATTTTTTAATGGGTCTTTTCCATTTAAAAATAAGCCAAACTTCTATACCAATTGGTCACAAATAGTACTGGATTTTTGACACGCACCGTATATACTATAAATCAGAAATCTGGTTTAGAGCTAGTTGGTTTTCATATTCTAGTGTAAGTGAGACCCTATTGAATGTAATTGTTGTGGTTTATAATTGCATTCACAGCCAATCACTCTTTAAATGGCATCCAGTATGTTGTTCTTGAATTAACTTTACATTTGCTCACTGGCTACTATATTTAAATCTCATTTGTTCAGCTTCGGGTAAAGCCGCCACCAAAGAGTTGGAACGAATCGACAACCTATTCTACGCATATGCAAATAATTCATCTGTTATGATTGAGTAAGTGTTATCCATTAAAATTTGATCCTTTTGTGACATTGGTGCTTGCATTTATAAATTTTAGCTAGTTCTTAATCTATGCTCAAAATTCAAATGCATGATACTCTATCGTATATGGACTTGGGTGCGGGTGAGGGAGAGTATGTATCTATGTGTTAGATTCATCTCATTCTCATGCCTAGGAACACTCAAACATGGCTAAATTTCACATTTCTTAAATAATACTACTTTCATTTATTAAGGGTAAAATGGTATTTGTAAACTAACGTGGAGATTTTTATGAACATGATGGAAGTCTTATGCTTAATTTGCTAGTAAACTCCACTACCTAGACATATTTATATACATGTCTAACTAACCATGTCTAAGCATGCCAAACACGTTCTCATATCCTCGCTCCTCGCTCAAGTGTCAAGAGTCCAACATAAGTACTTCACATATTAAAAGAGTCCATGACCGTGACTTACCTGTATATCACTTATATGTTAAATGGACTAAGATTTCCTCGTGTGCCCTAAAACTTATTTTGATGTTTAGAACTCTGCTTGAATATTGTTATACTTCATTGTGGTCATTTTAATGGGAATTCCATCCATGTTTCTAAGTTGGCATTTGGAAATTTAGCAAAGAAAAACAGAATACACCTGTGTGAGATCTGGGATCCCATGTATAAAGACCCAGAGGGAAAAACTGTTGTCATGGTTCTGTGTAAGTTTTGCTGCTTGCGTATTTAAAGTTCCTTCATGGCATTTGGTGAGGTGTGTCGCTTTTTGTGTTTCATCTTCCGGCCCCACTCCCTCTCTCTAATGGTATTTACAATGGCGTTGATTGTTGGATGTTTGGGATGCGAGATCCACCACTAAATTGATTTAATTTTACTATGCTGGAATGGAATTGGAGAGGTCCTGGGTTGTTCAACTTTAATGTATACATAAAGTTTTGTTTTACCATGTTTTTGGAGTGGAAACTGATCATTGGTTGAAGATAGCCTTTTTGAAGTGACATTTCCAGTTCCCTTGGTAGTGTAGGTGAGGTCCGTAAGGTTATCTTTAAAATTGGGTGGCATAAAACCATGGAAAGTTGTGGAACTGGAATTTTCATGAACTATTGTGTTAAAACATGTTTTGAATAGGCTCGTGACACCTTTATGATCCTTCCTTGTGGTTTTCCAACTATGAAGCATGGGTACTTCGAAAAACATGCCATACTTGTACTGGATACTTACTGGCCTATGGTACGTCATATGGTATGTCGTATGGTACTTCTGCATACGTACCAGGTACACGAAACACATACCCAAATTTTTTCTTTGTAGTTTTTTGCGAACCCAGATGTACTTATTATATACCCAAGTCGTATCGTATTTTCTTCTACTACAGATATAAAACTCCTTTCACTAGACTTCTTTTTTATTTTTAGTTTTATGCTTAGCATGTTTTTAAAATTAAACTATGGTTTGTAATATATTGACATTTAATTTTGATTTATACCTTTACTTTTGGCATTAAATGTTAATTGTAGGTTGGATTTTAACAAATTAAACCATTTAATTAATTTTTGTATTCCTCTAAATTAAAAATAAATATTTTTTTACAAGCGTATCAAGCCATACCTGTACGCCGTACCGTACTTTTTTTAGATTTTACCGTATCGGCGTACCCATATCATACTTGTACTCGTACCCGTACTCCGTGCTTCATAGTTTTCCAATCTTGCCTCTGGATTAGGTTTGTGTTGTTTCAACACTTGTACTGCATGACCATCAGCTTTTTTTTTTTTTTGTAATTTTTTTTAAGAATAACTTCCCATGGTTTTCTGTAACACAACTGAAGCAGCATAGTTCTAAGGTGATAATGTATATGTTACTTCTGGTTACTGGTAAGGAGGTTAGATATTAACTAGATTTGAAAGAAGCTAATTTGTACTAAATTTATGTCTTATTTTGTTGGACTTAAAAGTCAGTTTATTAACTTCTTCTTCTTTTTTTTTTTGTGTGTGTGTGTGTGTGTGGTTGTTTTATCATTTTCTTTTCAATTAACATTCTTTCATTATTTTAGTTTTAGGGCCTTCTTAGGGTGGGTTTCTTGACCTCTTCACCAAAAGCTGAAACTAAAACCTAGTAAAAAAAGGAAGAAAGGAAATCATAAAGTTACAAAAAGATGGTTCCAAGCCAGGCTTTAATCACAAGTATAATGAAATTAGCTGCTTATTTTTTAGTCTAATGATGTGAGGTTTTTGGCTATTCCTTCTTTTTTTCTTTTTTTTTTTTGCTAAAACTTTTCTCGTTAGTGATTGATACTTGATACTTACTGTGTTACATGGACTCTTCAAAATAAATTAAATATCCGTGTCGGACACCCAACACTTGGACAAGAGTATGGGATATGTGTCCGATACTTTCCATTGGAAACTTCTCATATATTTGTATTTGACACTATCTTACATTACATGTATCATTTGTTGTGTAATTACTATAAAACACCTTTTTGATGTTGTATGTTACGTATAATACCATTTTATCTCACATAATAGATTAAAAATATAAAAATATGACTCTTTTTTGCCGAGTCCATGTACCGTTAATTTGAGTTTTGATGAGCCCAACTTCTAGATATGCACCCGCACCTGAGTACATGTAACATAGGATAGCGATAAATCTGTATCCTGTAACTTTGAAATCTAATTTTGAAGATGCATTTATTTTTTATGTGTGGTTGAAGGGGAGGGGGAAATTATTTTCTGCGTTTATTCACTGGTTAACTTGCCAATATATCGTCAAGGAAGAGAAATAGCATACTAGACATTTCTGTTATGTCACTCAATTATTTGGCAATATGAGAAGTTTGTAAGAGGCGGTTCCAGAAATATCTGAGGGGTAAAAGTTTTAGTCCAAAGAATAGGCAATCGTATAAGCTGAACTGTGTACCACTAGGTTCAGTACCTCTGAATTTGAGTTAGTACTTTATATTCTTTTTTCTGCTAGTACTCCTAAATTTTAAGAATTTTTTCCCACCTTCTCTGACATTGTTGATTGTTTTATCATTTGTAGTTTTCTAACATTTTCTTGAACAGGCCTGAAGGAATTGAGGCTCTTTGTTCAGATCTAGAAGTTGACCATACTGACGTCAGGATATTGATGCTTGCCTGGTAACTTTCATTATGTAGTCAATGTCACTTCCTAAGTTCTAGATTATGGAATAGCATGACTAATGGACACATTTCAGGAAGATGCAAGCTGAAAAACAAGGATACTTTACCCTGGTAAGCAGAATGATTATGATTTACCTATCAAAATTTAATAAATCTTATTTGTTGAATCTACTTTCTAGTGCTTTGTCATATGCCGTAATCTGTATGAAACTGCAACTCCTGCCGTCCGTTCTTCATCTAAATCTAATATGTAATACTTAAACTAAAAATAAAAAAAATTAAAAAATGACTTCAAAAAGCATCATCTTGATTTTCAATGAAAGATTTTTTTTTTTTTTGTAAATATATTTGGCATAACATATTAATGTTCTGGATGGATGTTAGTTTTTACTGTTGTATGCAAGCACTACTTGCAGATGTCAACCACACTTGGGTTGACTTAAAAAAAAAAATTCCCCCTTGTTAAGATGAAATAACTACACAACAGAAGCATTTTTAATATTATCATTTTAAAATGAAAATGGGCATGAGTTCCTAAGAATGAATTACACAGTTCTAATTTAGCTCAAATAAATTGTAAGTTAGTGAAAATTGCATTAGACTCCTTAAGAAGGATGCTGGAAACTTGAGCTAGCCTAAAGATACTCCTTCCAGTAGAATCATCAGTCACATGATGCAAATGGTCAACCTTTTGTTGCTGATTCATGCTGAATGTCTAATGGGCCAACTTTATCTACATATTACTTATTTTTTTGTTATATCCTATGATGTGATCTACCACTTTAATTATTCACCTTGGACAACACAATTGGATGTGGCTTACCCAATCGTGAAATGTCAAAAGCCATATTCTTTTTAAGCGTGTGCTAGTTTTTTTGGTAAATTGCACTGTTGGCCCCTGAACCATGTTACTAGTTTCAATTTATCCTCTTAACTACATTTTGTCTCAATTTACACCCACACTATGAAAAGTGCTTCAGTGTCAACCATCCATCCATGTACTTCAGGTTTTCTAACAGAACTGTACATCTAAAAGGGCATTTAAGAGATAATATAATTTCTTAGCTGTCCACTTTTATTATTTTAGCCGTTTTCCCATGAATCTACAACAAATGCATCAAGTGGTTCTAAAATGCCAAAAAAGTGTGGTGGCTGATGAAATTCTGGGGCCAAACGGCTAAAATGAATCAATGATAAAAAAATAAAAAAGGGTTAGAGGTTGGTTAAGAAATTGTTTTATATCTTAATTGCCCTTTTCATGTGTAGGTTTCCATTATAAAATCTAATGGATATGAACAAAGGATTGACATTGGAGCACTAAAATACTTAAGGGGTTAATTGAGGGGGGGGGGGGGTTGGTGGGTGTTTGAGCACTTAAATGCAATAAGAGGAACACGGTCAAAAGCCATATTCTTTTTAAGTGTGTGCCAGTTTTTTTGGTAAATTACACTATTGGCCCCTGAACTATGTTACTAGTTTCAATTTATCCTCTTAAATACATTTTGTCTCAATTTACACCCACACTATGAAAAGTGCTTCGTGTCAACCATCCATCCATGTACTTTAGGTTTTCTAACAGAACTGTACATCTGAAGGGGCATTTAAGAGATAATATAATTTCTTAGCTGTCCATTTTTATTATTATTATTGTAGTCGTTTTCCCATAAATCTACAACAAATGCATCAAGTGGTTCTAAAATGTCAAAAAAGTGTGGTGCCTGATGAAATTCTGGGGGTGAACAGCTAAAATGAATCAATGATAAAAAAATAAAATAGGGTTAGAGGTTGGTTAAGAAATTGTTTTATATCTTAATTGCCCTTTTCATGTGTAGGTTTCCATTATAAAATCTAATGGATATGAACAAAGGATTGACATTGGAGCACTAAAATACTTAAGGGGTTAATTGAGGGGGGGGTGGGGTTGGTGGGTGTTTGAGCACTTAAATGCAATAAGAGGAACACGGCATTTCTAAGTTAAGTGAAGATTCAGAGTATCAATATACAGCTCACGGCATGTCTGTTAGTTGCTTTGACTTACATGGTTGCTTTATGAGTTTGGTTCCATGAACATGTATTGTGATGAAGCTTGGTTAGTTATTGGTCATAAACCTTTAGTGTAATCGCATAAAGTATTTAATGGGGAAAATGAAATTACGAATACAGAAGTTAAAAGCTGGTCATATTGGTACTCCATGTGTCAAATTCGTGTTTCAAGTTAGCTTTGTTCTCACTGAGAGCTTCCAAGCTCTGTTATTGGTGACCATACAAGACGAATCATGTATCTTTGCTCCTCCTATTGAAATATTTGGACGATACCTGGCTAAGTATGATTTAGATTGGTGAGATAATTCTTCTGCTGAAGTGTAGTTTTGTTCTTGCAAATTAACTTTATAATCACAAGCCCTTTTTTTCCCCCATTTTTTATTTTCATCATCCTCATGCTTAATGAATCTGAAATTTAATCATTTTATCGCACCATTTCTACTGATATCCTGAATATTTTGTTTAGTTTAGTTTTTCTAAACTCATAATTCTTTGAGATGACTCCACTAATTGTATGATTAATAGGAAGAGTGGCGAAGAGCCCTCAAAGCACTTCGGGTTGACACTGTAACCAAATTAAAGAAGGCACTACCAGAGTTGGAGAAAGAGGTAGTGTATTTTTATTATTTACGTTTGGGCACCTTCCTGGAATCATGATAAATTCTGTGGGTGTTTGATATTCTGTGGTGATGGAAAATGCATTTGCTAATTCTCATTTCTCTCTTTTTTCTTCCTTCCGTTAAAGGTCAAAAGGCCGTCAAATTTTGTGGATTTCTATTCTTATGCATTTCGATACTGCTTAACAGGTATGGTGATCCATGGCAGCCTGTAGTTAATCTCGGAGAGCCTTATTTATTCCTTTTATGCTGCTTACCAGTGTTTTTTTTTTCTTTTTCTTTTTCTTTTTCTTATATGGTTTTCAGAGGAAAAACAGAAGAGTATTGACATTGAGAGCATCTGCCAATTACTTGATCTTGTTCTAGGGTCCCAATTCCGTGCCCAAGTTGACTACTTTGTTGAGTACCTGAGGGTGAGTAGTTGTAGTTTTCTCATGATCCCCATAATGCTGAAGGTTTTTATGTATCTGCTTCCTCGATTGTCCAATGCATATACCCTCATTTCTTTTTGTGTATTGGTGAGAGTTTCCTTAATTTTGGACTTGTGATTCTAGGATTTGTCATATTAGTGAATATCATATGGGGATAGCTCCTGTTTGCTAATTTTTTAGCTAAATTCAGAAATTTAGCCCTCAACTGTTTCATTTAGCAGTCTCACAGACAATGATGCAGCATAGTTTGAGTGGTGACGTGAAGGACCCTATAGGCATGCACAAGATAGGAGTCAATCTCATTTATTTATCTCATTTGAGTGTTTTTGCTCTGAATGCAGACACAAATTGATTACAAGGTCATAAACATGGACCAATGGATGGGTTTCTATCGGTTTTGCAATGAGGTAATCCAACGGTTAGTTGCTAATCATTATTTTAGAATTTATAGATATCTTTTTTTTTAGTTGATCCTCTAGTGTAAGTTGATTGGTTGACGTGTGTGGTACATATAAAAATCCATAACGATGTTGTATATTTGATATAACCTTTTTTCTTTTTAAGTCATGCAGACACGTGCACATTATTTAGTATGCTTCAATACGTTACTTTGTTTCGCACCACGTGAAGTTTTATCTGTAGGTATATTTCCCATGTAACTTTGCAGCAGCTGTTTTTTTTTTCCCTTTCCCTTTTGGGGGTTAACTGGTAGTTATTGACCTCTTTCTTTGACTACTAATTTATTTTTATTATTTTTTAACATTATTGAAATAGATATTGGCTTAAGTGTTTATTATGGGACCAACCTTGTACTTATCTGTAGATGTGTGCCGTGACTAATTTTTGACTTAAAACTTTTAGTAATTTTATGATTTCTGACAGCAATCTAAGCTTGTGGAGCATGCTAATTTTCACAATCTAAGAAGAACATTCGTGTGGTACCCTTAACGCCCAGTGACATTTTTAAGAATGTAGGATACATTACACATACATGAATGTTGGTCTTATTCTATATAGGTATGCTGTGCTGGCTTGTCTTTGTACTAATTTTTAGAAATTGACAGTGTTATGTGTTCATGTCATGTCATGTCCATGCCAGTGCAACATATTTCGTAATTATTTGTTGACACCCTAGATATATGTGGCTGAATTCGGTCATTTAAGAAAAAAGTAAGTTTTCAAAAAGTGAAAGGAGGAGTGATTCAATCATTGTGCTATGAAGATTTTTCTTCCATTAAATGTTTTATGAAAAGAATTTCCTTTCAAGACTCTTTCACATTTTAATTATTTTCCAAGCGTCTTGGTTACTTGAAAATTTGAGATAATAAGACTTTTCTAACTTCAAATATCTATTTTTTTTTCAAACAGATAAGTTTTCCGGACCATAGTAATTATGATGCTGAACTTGCATGGCCCTTAATTCTGGACAACTTTGTTGAATGGATGAGAGCAAAGCAGAGATAAACCAAGAACCGATTGGTGGATCGGTTCTCTGTCATTATCCAAGCTTAAAGTACGTCACCATTTGAATACCATATTCAATTTTTTTCGCTCCACTCTCTTCGACTTAAATTATATTGTTTGAATATCAATTTGTTTGCAGGATTGTCTCAAACAACACACATCAAAAGTGAAGCAATCAATTTTCTTTTGTTTTTTTTTTTCCCTTGATTTTTGATTGAAGGGAGGAGCTTTTCTTCTTTTCTGAATATACTCTTGTTAGAACCCACCCCCCTCACCGTTAGAAGTTAGTGATGTGTTATTGATCTCTGTTTTGATAATGTCTCAGTACATTTTATTTGTCATTATTTATGCAACTTGGTTTCAGTTTTATTGTTATGTTGTCTACTTTTATTTTAGGAAAAATTATACTTTAACCCCCTTAACTATGCTTATTGTCACTTTACCCCTCTCAACTAAAATTGCTGCATTCCACCCCTTTGATGTTCTGATTTGTTTGTACCCCAGCCTCCTATCTTTGTTATGAAAAGAGGACAAAAAATGGCATGTGAGCTGCACGTGTCAATTTTATAACCAAAATATTCATTCAAGAATTGGTTTATATACATATATGTGAGATACTATAAAGAAATAAGTGAAAATATATCCACATGTCAATTTTATTACCACAGGGGAAGATATATACATAAATAGCTCTTGAATTGTCATCCTTATAAAATTAGTATGTACAGTTCACATGTTCCCTTTTTTATCCTCCTTTATAATGGATGTTAATTAAGGTTGAGATTAGAATGAATTAGACAAATTTGAAGAAAAATGTAGCAATTTTTTAATTTAGGGATGTAAAATGACAACAATCTATAATTGGGGGAATTATTGCTCAGTGATGTTAGCAAAAAGACAATACAAATTTATGGTTTTAATTATTAATATTTATAATATTTACCATCTATATGTAATCATTTTTTAATCACTGTGGTGCGATTTGTCCAAATATAATTGAGGGGATGATATGTAATTTTTTTTTTTTTAATTAGAAAAAAAAAAAAAGAACATATTTTTTTTTTTTTTGAATAAAAAAAAAAGATACTTTGAGGTGTTGCGTTTGTGGGGTTAGTTTTCGGAGTAACGGGTTACTAGCTTAATTTGATCCAATTTATAGGAAATGATCCATTACCGAGATACGAGTTTAACCGCACGCTACCGACGAACTTAAGTTTCGATTAGAATGTCGGGTGAGATTTCCATAAAGAACCAGCCGCTAAGTAGCAAATTTACCCGTTCAAAATTCAAACTTAGATCATGCTTATGAAGAAGAATGCTTTCTCTATTACGTCACCACCCCGGTGGTGGGATGATGTGTAACTTGTCCCTTATTTTTATCCAAGGAATCTTACCTTTTTTCTAGTAATTGTTGTTGAATTATGCTATACTATTTTGATTGATTAGAATGTGGGTCCATTATGGGCATTGTTTGGACTTCCCAAGTCCAAAAGAAAAAGCAGAAGACAGCCAAGTCAGTGGTTTGGTAGCACAATAAAAAGCTCTGTGATGTGGAAAAAAACAGTTGGAAGAAAGATTAAATACTATTTCAAAAAGCAGATACTCTTAGGAGCACTATCATGTTCAAGAAGATTTGCCCCACCCCACCCAATTGTTCTGACATTATTTTGCAGCTGGTATAAGAACTTGTCATATCAGATTAGTTGATTATTATTTTTTATTTTTATTTTTAATGCCTTAGGGTCCAACTTTGGTGACCAACAGCATTTTTGGGGTACCATGCCCTAAAAAAATTGGTTAGTAAGATCACGATATGCAAAATTAGTTCTAATGATAAGTAATTCTCATTTTAAAATGGTAAATAGTAGGATCAGTTCCAATGATAAGTAATTTTCATTTTAAAATGGTAAGTAAGATAAGTAGATCCTATTTTTTTCCTCAAGAAAAGCTCAAAATCACCTCATTTATTTTGCATCCAGTTCTACTTATTATTAATCAATAGTTGACTCCTCCTATCCAGATCGAATGGATGGGATTATTAGGGCATAGTGCCCCAAAACTACCACTAGCACACCATAGAAAAATCAAATGTGACACCAACCATTGTATGTGCCAAGTAAGATCAAATTTTGTGGCAAGTAGAATCAGTTTGAATCCATTTTTTAGAGGTAAATAGGATCAGTTCCAGATTGCCAATTGGAGGAGAGAACATAAACATCCAAAGATTGGCATTAAGTTTATCTTTTTGCACTGTTTTGGAGCATTGTATGAGAACAACAATAATTTGCAAGAATGAAAGCATGTACATGTGAAAATACTGCAGAGGCTTCTCAAGAAGCTGTTAGCATTACAAGAAGATCACAGGAATTAAGGAAAGAAAAATAAAAAATTTAGGTTTTGAAGAACAAGAATTCCTAGGATGAAGGAGGACCAACAATCAAAGGTGACGATGGAAGAACAGAATGCTTCTTTCTACTACTACTTCTGGTTGCTTTGGGGGGAGAAGATGACGAAGAAGATGAAGAATTAGACGATGAAGCGAACCTTTTTGAACCGCTTCTTAGTTTTTTCTTGTCTCCTTCGCAGACCTTATCTTCGATTCTATGGTGACGAACTTTAGTTGAATTTAAACTCACTGGGATAATACAATTGCAGAACATACCTACACAAAATGGGTATCCAACAATTATATTGCAAAAAAACCCAAAACAAAAACAAAATGGGTATGGACAATGCATTTGGACTATCTGCAATATGACATGTCAACTATGTACTTCAAATTTTATGTTTTCAGAGTATTCCTCTTTTTATCTACTAATTTCATTGTCACCAAGCAAATAACAAACATGAGGGTACATTCATATAAATGCTAGCAACTTGATGCATGAAAAAAATAAGAAGTCCAAAAAAGGTCTTACCGATTCTAGCCAGCCGGTTAACCCAACTGGGGATGGCATTGCTAGTGAGTCTGATACAAGCATCATTGCAGAAATGGTTGCAGTTCTTAGTGATCAGATTGTATGCATTCCCTTTGTACACTTTTGATAGTTCTTCCATCACTCCCCTCACCTCTGCCAGACCCATCTCTGTCCATCCAATCAAGATCGCCTTCCTAAAAGTAAACCCATCACACTGTTTTGGTTCTCCTTCAAAAATCCCTGTCGTCGGATACTCATGAGCTCCAAAGGCATACTCAATTCCATGAACTGCCACCACACCACCACCACCCATTAACATTAAAAAAACCACCGAATCAACTCTAACAAATTGAACATTTTAGCACTCTTTTTTCCAAATTGACTCATCAAGTAAAATATATGATTGATTTTGTTAGTATAGACTCTTTGGGATGAACAAAATGTCTTGAGTTTGTACTTTTGGAGTTTTGAGTTAGTAGAATTTTTTAGATAAGCTAGTGAGATTGAGTTCTTAGTCCTATAAAAGATTTTTCTTCGATAAGTGATATCATAAAAGATACAAGTGAAAGTACTCCCTAGTGAGATTGAAAGATTTTCTTTAACAAGTGATATTGGAGTCAAATTGTTGGGTACACAATACCTCTCTCTATAACCGCTCTAAAAAAAGATATTGAATTCCGATATCGAATTCCATAAAAGAAAAAAAAGTAAAGTAGTCTTAGTAAATAGTCATATTCATCAAGTAGATGAGTCAATTGCAAGTTGATAAACCAGAAATGCTTAAATTGATATGAAACGAAGAGCAAAATTGAATCGATTTTCAACTACAGATCTGATTCAACAGTACTGTGAGAAGATCATAAAAACAAAAAATTCAAAAAAAAAATGAAAAAGATTTTGAGTGGGTGAGTGAGCACTGACCTTGAACACCAGAATGGTAGACTCCGAGACCAAGCCAGTAAGCGTAGCCATTAATGGAGGTTAGATCGTAAACATTAAGGTGGACTGGTACCGATCCACTACCACTCTTAATCGAATTCTTTCTGCACAACATCATGAAGAAAAGATTGAACAAAACACAACACTTTGGATGCAATGGCTCTGCAACAAGAAGAAGAATTAACTGAGTTGATTGAGAGAGATGAGACTGAGATTTTTGTGGGTTTTGGTTGTAATCAGAATTTTGAATTTGTATCATCGAAATGGGGTGGTGCCACTCCCGCGGCACTAGGTGCCGCTGCCTCTGCTTTTTGGCGCACCACTCACTGTGCTTATATGCCACACCACGTTCATCTATGATAATTTTATTTTAGATGGTTGAAATTAAAATTTAAAGATTTGAAAAAAAGGAAAAAAAACAATTTCTGGTACAACTATCCACCTAATTCTTATACTAGTAATACTATAAATTCATATTTAACTACTCAGAATTGTCATCTTATAATTCAGATTTATTTTATTCATAAACCTCACATTACATAAATTCAATCTTAATCATACATTTCTATTTCAAGTAAATTTAGGGTCTTCCACATCTGGATAGATAGACTTATTCATTGCTATAAGGATAGTTTGCCTAACCAAAAAAAATGAGACATAAAAACCAAGTTAGGCATTCTCTTCTCTAACTAGCCTTGTTTGGCATTACTTATTTTAGTTTATTTTTTTATCTTTTTATCTTTTTTAGATTACATCAATCAACATTTCCTTTCTATTTTTTTACATAATTTTTTTATAAAAAATAAAAAAGTACACTTATTTAAGACATTCCAAACCACCTGATTGTGAATAGTTAGTCTCAAGTCCTGCCCTTTTTCCTAATTTTTTTTTTTATAAGGGAAAATTTCACTTAGCACAGAGAAGTCAAAGCTTCAGGACACCAACATGGGATGTTCATTTTGTTCATTTTATATATAAATAACAACAATGATAGGTGGCTTGAAAAATCATGATTTAAATGGCTCGAAACACCTAAAACGATGTCGTTTTGAGTGTAAAACGACGTCGTTTTGACCCATTCAAACCATTCGAACCACAAAAATTCGGGTCACCAAACATTTTCCATACACAGACATGTAAACACTAAAAGTGGTGGTGTGCATAAGATCATTTTCTTTCAAGAAAATTTAAATTTAAATTCAAAATAGAAACATTTTATAAATTTGAAAAAAATTAAGATTTAAATAAAAAAAAATTAAATTTAGAGTATAATTAAATAATAACACAATTGTTATTATAAAATATTTTGTGAACATTTTTGAAAAAAAATATATATATGTATATATATATATGGAGATTTATTAAAAAATCTTTTTTAGGTGTTATCTCAATTAGTCCGTAAGGTATTCTTGTATTCCAATAAGTCCTATTATTTGAACATTTGATCTACCACATTTTAATTATCATATTTAATGTATTTTATAGACATTTCTACCCTTACAAATATTTTTTGAACGATTAGTAATTTGGTGATGTAAACATTTATATTTTACAATGTGAATATTCACATTGACGTATGAATGTTCACATTAATAATGTGAACATCCACATTGACAATATGAATATTCATACTAACATGTTAACATTTACATTGACGGTGTAAACATTCACATCACGGAACATTCGCACTGTAAATGTGAATATTATTAGGAATATTTTGGTAATTATCCCATAGAACTTATTAGAATATAAAAAAATAATATGAATTAAATGAAACATAAATACGTAAAAAGAGATTTATAAAAAAGTGTCCCATATATATAAGGCATTCACATACTAGGCATTTGAATCAATTAGAGTTGATAATTGTCCATTAAAATACTTAGATAGGGTTTGCAATTGTTTCAAGCAATTTACATTGTTACTATATTCCAGACAATTTCAGCCTTATCTGGCTTCGATTTACAACAATTTAAGACTAATAATATAGATACAAATATAGATATAGACCGATAATAGTATAGATTGATATGGGTATACACATTATATAAATAAGTTCAAATTATATGTAATTTAACAATGATGAAAATTAATAGAATTCATTTGTGAAAATTTGAATATATAAATTAATTTTATCATAACAATCCTTATCAGCATTATCAAACTTTTAGGGGTATTATAAAATAATTATTAAAACAAAAATAGAAAAAAAAAATCTATATCAATTCAAGCTTTTGAGAAATATATATGCATTAGTAATATATATTGAGACTGAATGAGTTAAAATTATAAAATTTTATTTGATATTGATATGCATAATTATATGACATAAGAAATCACAAGTAATTATGTGAGTATATTATAATAATAAAATAAAAAAAAAAACCTCTCTATCGATATCAAATATATTATGCCTCCGTTTGGGAAGTGGGTTGGCTTTTTGACTTTTTGGCTTTTTTGGCTATTTTAGCCTGGGCTTAAAAGTTTGGTTTGGGAAGGACTTTTTGACTTTTTGACTTTTTTGAATTTTTTTGTGAGAGAAGAATGTAATGATTATGGGTTGGATGTGATGTTTTGTTTGTTATGGCTAAAATAGTCTATTTTATCTTTTGTGACTAAAATAGCCAAAAAAGTCCAAGAACCAACTTGCCAAACAGAGGAATGACTGTAATTTGTTGGAATTGCAGGGAGAAGGGGGGTGTGATTGGTTGGAATATGAGCTGTGTTAATCCTATTTGATTTTAAAATAATTTGAAAATTTTTCTTTTGGGAGAAAGTAACGTACAGTCATTATAGCTTGTAGTGGATGAGTGTGATATTGTGCCTGTTTGGCAGAACTTATTTGCAGCTTATTTCAGCTTTCAGCTTAATTTAAGCTATTTTGATGTGTTTGGTTTAGCTTATAGCTTATAGCTTATAGCTTTGTGGAAGTCAGAAATCAGCTTATTCTTTGAGTGGGGCAGGAGATGCTTTAAGAATAAGCTGAAAATCAGCTTAAGCTGAAAGTTATAAGCTATAAGCTGTTTAGGCATAAGCTATAAGCACTTTCCCACAGTTCTACCAAACAGGGCTATTATATTATGATTGCGTGGGACAACTACCAGGATTCAATATATTATGGAATGATGATCTGTGATAACAGTATTAATTTATAAAAATAAAGTAAAGGAAGCACATTAATTAGTTGGGTAGGGCCCAAGGGTCCCATGTCTCAAATATCGGATGGTGGAGATTGACGTGACCTTAGTAACCATTCAGGCGTGAGCTGCTGATGTCAACACTATCACATGTTTGGTACGATATAATAGATATACACGAGATTTAATTAAATTATAAATATTTTTGAGATTTTAAAAGTTATATTTTACCTCTTAAAATTTATATTTACATAACAGTTTGAGTCCTACCGTAAATTAAACCGTTACAGAAGTGTAGTGACATTACCAAAATGTATATTGATGAAACATATTATCCCCTGGAACCTTTTAAAGTTCCAAACAATCTTTTTCTTTTTTTTTTTCTTTTTTTTAACACAATCAAACAATCTGATTTAATCTACAATTCTTTTGGTTTGTTGTTTGAAAAAAATTTCAAACTTTTTTAAAAAATAAAATAAAAACTAATTTAATAAAAATAAATATGAAGAAATATATTTAATTTATAAAAAAATTATTTCTAACCACCAGAAAGATAAAATTATATAAAAATGATAATTATTTTTTTATTTTTTTTATTTCTTAACCAAATTAATTTTTAATTTTAAAAAAAAAAATTCTAAAACAAATTTCTAAAAATCAAACCATACATATCTTAAGAATTTTTTAATAAATCATTTCTTACGTTGGTAGTTTATATAATTATTTGTTAATTTTACGACATTTTTATCATCTGATAAGTGTTTTTTCATTTTAATTTTGCATTGCATAAATTATTAAATTAATTAATTTTGTATTCACAACTTATTCAGTTAATTTGTTGTTTTTTGAGTTTTTTTTTGGTGAATAGTTATTTTTTTTGTAATAAATAAGTACTATGGAATCCTTTTCAACATGAAAGGAATGAAGAAAGAGCACTCAATTAGCTTGAAATTGAAATATTAGCTTAGAATTTCAAATACACAATTCTGAAATATTAACTTAATTATATATTCATGTCCACCAAAATAAACCTTACAATACCATATCTTAGTTACAAATTCTTGTCCAACAAAAACTTTGCAAGTCAATAAAAGAGTAGTAGCCCACCCAGTTCAAAAACCTATGATGAGTAAGGATGCATGCCTTTCGATATGTACTAATATGAAGACATTGTTAGAAAAATATACACACTAATTACACAAAAAAGTATACCCTACTCTTTAATTCCTTCCAGTATCCCCTATACAAAAAACATCTCTTGAAAAATAAAAAAACAAAAAACAACAAATTAATAAACACAAATGAATATATTTTAAGTGTTATGCATGATGCAATTACATGCATACATATGGTTCAAGTCATGCTCCATTGAGTTGGAAGCACCCAATCTTGCCGTTGATCCTAAAAAATGAATTGGATTAGTTGGCCTCAAATTCCATGTGGAAAAATAAAATAAAATAACACAATCATTTGTCATTTACACTTACATCAACAGTGCTCCTTTCAGTAGCTGTGGACCTTCCAATAGTTCTCCTTTCAACAATAGTACCAATTCCTCTCTGAGCAGACTCATTTGTGCCCATTTCCCTACCCCTAATAGGTGTCCTCTGGCATGTCCTCTTATTGTGCCCAATCCTCTTGCAAATGATGCACCTCACAGTGCATGATCTTTTTGATGGTGCAGCCTCATCAACTTCTCTTCTCCTACTTTTTCTAGGTCTTCCAGACATCCTCTTAAGAGGTGGAGCCTTCAACTCATCTCTAAGAACTGGATCCCATAAACTCTTATCATGTATTGGATGTATAATTTCCCCACATGCCTTCAAATAAATGTGTTTGTAGTACATTGTGTCACAATAAGTCTCCAAGTTCATCATCTTATGAGTAATGCAAGTTGTTGCATGCTTGCAAGGGACTCCACTAATGTCCCATATCCTACAATAACATGACCTTCTTTGTAGGTTCACTAGACTGAAGAACCACTTTATCCAATTGCTTCTTAATGTTAGGGTTTACCAAAGATTGCCATGAAGCTGCCTCTTCAAACCTCTTATGTAAGTTGTTCATCAGTTTCAATCTGATATTTTCCAACAATGTCAAGATAGGTTTACCCCTAACATTACTGATCCAATTATTAAATGACTCCACTATGTTGCTAGTAACATGTTCACTCTTCACCCTGTGATCAAATATATGTCTTGCCCATATTTGAACTGAAAATTTA